TGGACATCCAACATCCCGCCTCCGCCTCCTCCGCCTCCTCCTCCCCTCCTCGTCCTCCTCCTCCTCCTCCTCCCTCCTCCTCCTCCTCCTCCTCCTCCTTCTCCTCCCCCTCCTCGTCCTCCTCCTCCTCCTCCTCCTCCTCCTCCTCCTCCTCTCCTCCTCCTCCCCTCCTCCTCCTCGTCTCCTCCTCCTCCTCCTCCTCCCTCTCCCTTCTCCTCCTATTCTCCTCCCCCTCCTCGTCCTCCTCCTCCTCCTCCAGCTCCTCCTGCTCCTCCTGCCCTCCTCCTGCTCCTCCTCCTGCTCCTCCTCTGCTCCTCTCTCCTCCTCCTCCCCTCCTCCTCCTCCTCCTCCTCCTCCTCCTCCTCCTCCTCCTCCTCCCCCTCCCCTCCCCTCCCAGAGCGTAGGCCCCAACCCCTCGGGACCCCATCTCTGAGCCGCCGACGCCGACACCCTCTCTTCTGCTTCTGCCTCCGCCTCCGCGGGGCCCGCCCGCCGCCGCCTTTTTGTGCTTCCCCCGAGGCCCGCCGAAGTCGGGGGCCTCTGACGCTCCCGAGGCCCGGCGAGGGCTGCTGGAGGCCGAACACGGCCAAACCCAGACCTACCTCCTCGCGCTGTGACATTTTTTTTAAAAAATGTTGTTTTTCCTCGCGCTGTGACAAAATCACGACGGGAGGTTTTTCCTTATCTTCGGCCTTCGGGGGCCCCACGTCAAAAAACGGCCCAGGATGCAAAACCGGTCCCGGGGAAGGGGTCCAGACCTCTGGGGGTCGACGTTCTGAACAAAAGCACGACGTCGTTGGCCTGGGAAAGCCGCCCGCTCCCATACTGTGGGGGCGTCGGATCCCTGGGGGTATAACCCCCGCCCGAGCCTCGGGGAGCAGAACCCCCCCCGTCCTGATCTGTGACGACACGGGCCTCGCCACGCCGGCGCACCAGGCCAGGGGGGGAGCTGTGGAGGCCGCCCTGCCCCGCATGCGCGGGGCCTGCCCACGGCTTGCCATCGCTGGGGCGTCCAGTCCCCGAGCAGTTGTCGGTCTCATGCGTGTCTTATTTTTCTTGGCCAAACGATCCAGATCCAGAAACCAGACCCCCGACGTCGCGATTCTTTCACAACGTCGACCCCCGGAGGTCTGAACCCCTTCCCCGGAACCGGTTCTGCATCCTGAGCCGTTTTTTGACGCTCCCGGGACCTGGTAGGAGTCCCCGGAGGCCGAAAATCCGCCGATCCGGGCTGTGAGTTTCTGAGAGCGTGGACTTGAGCTCGCTCAAGCTTCGCTCTGCAGGGGGGGGGGGGGGGGGCGTACGTTATTTCCGCCGTCATTTCCGACGTTTTTCGGTATCCGGGGACAGGGGGGTATAGAAAACTCCACTTCCAGAGCCCCGACCGTCCCAAGACAGCCCAAGAGGAAGCCAAGAGAGGCCCCAGAGGCTTCCTAGACACTGCAAAAGGGCCCCGGATCGGCGGCACTGGCCGGAGGCCAGTCCAATATGGAAAAGCCTCCCGTCGCGAATTTTTCATGACGCGAGGAGGTCTGGGGATTCTCTTCGATGGCCCTCTCCGAGAAACCTAGACATCCGACGCCTCGATTTTTTCGAGACGCGGGCCCCCAACCTCCCGACCACTTCCCTGGGACCGGTTTCTCATCCCGAGTCGTTTTTTGACGGTCCCGAGGCCCAGCGAGGGCCCCGAGAGGCCAAAAACTGTGAAAAGCCTCTGTCTCGATGTTCTCGAGACGCCCGATGTCTGGGAACACGCCCGAGAGCGATGCCGAGGCACACGGCCGACGCCGGAAGCCCTGGGCCCCCGAGCTGCCGACGCCTCTCCTGCGGCGTTTCCGCCGCCCCTCGCCGGCCTCCCGCCGGAGCCCGCCGCTGGAGCCGCCCCCACGTCCGCTGCTGCTGCCTTCCGCCG